TGAGGAAAACTGGAAACTCAGATGAGTTACTGAGGGTCACGCTGAATTACTGCCTGAGCTGCCTCTAGAATGGAGTCCTTATTCTGACCTTGGACACGTTCATGGTATATCGTGGTGCTTTCTCAAGTTTTCTTGACCACCTCAGTGCAAAGGGCTCTCTCTTTTCTGAACACTGGTTATAATTTGCTGTCTGAAGATTTTACTCAGCATATACCTACTGTTGTATGTTTCTAGTTGGCTTTTTATATGTGCAGGCCATCTCCCAACTAAACTGTAAGTTCTTCAAAAACTAGATTAGAGAGTTTTCCCTAGGGAAGTATTGCTAGGTGATGCTTAATCCTGAGCAGATCTCTCAATCTCTATAGACCTTGTTTCCCATTTATAAAATGGAGATATTGATTAAATCCTAATACAAGTACCATTATAGTTAAAATTGCTCTATCATAAACCCCACTGTTGACCTTATTTTTCCCAAACCATCTTCTTAACAATGAAATTCTGGTTTAATAAAATAATATAAACAATGTTGTATAGAGTTCATCTCATCAGGATTGAACTTGTAAAATACTGCCTTTATGAATCCCACAGGGATATTGTAAAACCAAAAGAGTTGAGTATATGAAAGCATTTGGGAATGGAAAAAGCATTATTCAAGGAGCAACGAATCCTTGATGGGTCTGGGCAAGAGAGGTGTCTCAAATGTGCTTTCAATGGGATCATCCTGGACAGGCAGAGTCATCCTGGCAGACACCTGATGAATTATAGGGTATATTATAAGGAGATGTAGAGTAATTGGTTTGGAGGAGAAATGATGAAGTAAAAATGCTTTCAAAATAGTTACTAAATTAAGGATTATTATAGCAGATACAATTCTGTATCAACATGTTCCTAGAGAAACAATGGAAGGAACTATAGCAGAAAATTTTAAAGTACTATAAATTATCCTGTGCCAGCTATGAAGAGTTTATTTTCACTTGTACAATATGTAAATGATTTAACAAAATATATCATTTAATTGTTTTAATTTTTATCCCTAAAGTATTATAAAAATTATTTGCCTTAATAATTTTTCTTTTTAAAATCAAAATCCTATTTTAAGCAATTTAGAAATCTGTGAAAGAAACATTCACTAAACATGCTCTATGCTTTCAACTTGTAAATGCATTGCTTGTAAAATAATGCTCATTTTAGTTGCTGATCTCTAGTGATTCATACTTGTCCTTCGTAGGAGTTCCTATGTAGATCAGATATTCTGAGTGCTAAAGGGAGCACTGTATTCTGTTCTCATCAACAAGCTAACTTAGTATAGGTGGCTAAGTCTCAGACTGTAGTATTTCAGAGTGGGAGAAGTTCATCAGAGAAGAGCCCAGGTAGAACTATTTGTTGCTTATCACACATCAAAATCTGTACATACTTTTATGGTTGGTTAACCTAATACCTATTGTTTTAGTACACGAACTATATCAGATCAGCATGTTGACCAGTGAATGGTGAATGGTGAGTGCTTACTTAGAGATACCGTATATATCATAAGAAAGTGCTTAAAATTTGCCTCTCTTAAGGAAAGGTAGTGTAATTTGGACTTATTATTAACTTACATTAATTAATCAGGAATTTAAAACATATTTTGTTACAAAAATCATAAGCATTTAGGCCAGGTATGGTGGCTCATGCCTGTAATCCCAGCTCTTTGGGAGGCTGCGGTGGGTGGGTTGCCTGAGTTCAGGAGTTTGAGACCAGCCTAGGCAACTTGGCAAAGCCACATCTCTACAAAAAATATAAAAATTAGCTGGCTGTTGTGGTGCATGCCTGTGGTCACAACTACTCAGGAAGCTGAGTAAAAATAAAATAAAATAAATTTTAAAATCATAAGCATTTGGAAAAACAAGAAAAATAGAAAACAGGAGGAAAACATACTAATGTCTCAGAACCCAGAAACAGTCTTAATGAGACTTCAATATATTTTCTTCAATAGTTTTTGTGCATTATTTTCTAACTTTTTAATAAAAGTTTTAAACATACAGCAAAGTTGAAAGAATATTACCATAAACATCCATACATACCAAACCTACACTCTACTGTTAGCATAGTACTATACAGTGTACTTACTTTATCACATATCTATGTATCTATCTATCCATCCATCAGTCTGCCTTGGGATTTTTAAAATTAATTTCACAATCATTGCAGACATTAGTATGCTTCTGCCCAAGTAATTCAGCATGCATTTAATTAATTGGAATTCAGTATTCTATAGAGTTTTTTCTTTGTAAATTTTACCCTTTGGAGGTAAAACTTACGTACCGAAATGTAAATCTTAGGTATATAGTTGCTGAGTTTTGACAAATCATACATTCGTATAACCCAAACCCTGTCAAAAATTATTTTCTTAACATTATGATGTAAGCATTTTTCTTATTATACATCTTTCTTATTTTTATTTTATCTTTAAAAATTTCAACTTTTAGATATGGGGTACAGTGAAGATCTGTTACATGAGAATGTTATATGATGCCGGGGTTTGAAGTATGGATCATGTCACCCTGGTAATGAGCATAGTACCAGATAGGTAGTTGTTTAACCCACACCCCTACCACCCTCTATGTTGTTCCCATATCTATGTTGTTGCCATCTTCCATGTGTACTCAGTGCTGAGCTCCCAATTATAAGTGAGAATGTGCAGCATTTGGTTTTCTGTTTCTGCATTAATTTGCTTAAGATTATGGCCACCAGTTCCATCTATGTTGCTGCAATGGACAGGATTTCATTCTTCGTTATGGCTATGTAGTTAGTATTCCATAGTGTTTATATGTTACATTTTCTTTATCCAATCTACCATTGATGGGCACCTGGGTTAATTCCATGTCTGCTATTGTGTATACTGCAGCAGTGAACATACAAGTGAGTGTGTCTTTTTGGTGGAATGCTTTATTTTTTGGGGGGTATATACTCAGTAATGGGATTGTTGGGGTGAATGGTAGCTCCGTTTTATTTGAGAAATCGCCAGACCGCTTCCACAGTGGCTGGACTAATTGAACTACATTCCCACCAGCAGTGTATGAGAGTTCCTTTTTCTCCATAGCCTCACCAGCATCTGTTGTTTTTTTACTTTTTAGTAATAGTCATTCTGACAGGTGAGAGATGGCATCTCCCTGTGGTTCTGATTTGCATTTCTCTGATGATTAGTGATGCTGAGCACTCTTTCATATCTTAGTTGGCCTCTCGTACGTCTTCCTTTGAGGAGTATCTCTTCACGTCCTTTGCCCATGTTTTAACGGGATTATTTGGTTTTTGCTTGGTGATTTAAGTTCCCTGTAGATTCTGGATATTGAGCCTTTGTCAGATACATAGTTTGCAAATATCTTCTCCCATTCTGTAGGTTGTCTGTTTGCTCTGTTGATAGTTTCTTTTGCTGTGCAAACGCTTTTTGGTTTAATTAAGTCTTACTTGTCTGTTTTTGGTTTGGTTGCAGTTGCTTTTAGGGACTTAGTCAAAAATTCTTTGCCAAGGCCGTTATCAAGAAGAGTATTTCCTAGGTTGTCTTCCAGGATTTTTATAGTTTGAGGTCTTACATTTGAATTTTTAATCCCTTTTGAGTTAATTTTTGTATATGGTGAAAGATAGGAAAGGTCTAGCTTCAACCTTCTGCATATGGCTAGCCAGTTATCCCAGCACCGTTTATGGAATAGGGAGTCCTTTCTCCGTTGCTTGTTTTTGTCAGCCTTCTTGACGATCAGATGGTTTTAGGTATGCAGCTTTATTTCTGAGTTTTCTATTCTGTCCATTGGTCTATGTGTCTGTTTTTATACCAGTACCAAGCTGTTTTGGTTACTGTGGCTTTATGGTATAGTTTGAAGTCAGGTAGCGTAATGCCTCTGGCTTTGCTCTTTTTGCTAAAGATTGCTTTGGCTGTTCGGGTTCTTTTTTGGTTCTATATGAATTTTAGAATTTTTTTTCTAATTCTGTGAAAAATGACATTGGGAGGTTGATATGAATAGCTTTGAACTGTAAATTACTTTGGGCAATATGGCCATTTTTATGACATTGATTCTTTCAATCCATCAGCAGGAAATGTTTCTCCATTTATTTGTGTCATCTCTGATTTCTTTCAGCAGTGTTTTGTAGTTCTCCTTGTAGAGATGTTTCATCTTATTGGTTAGCTGTATTCTCATGTATTTCATTTTATTTGTGGCTATTGTGAGATTGTGTTCTTGATTTCACTCTCAGCCTTGGATATTGTGTATAGAAATGCTATTGAATTTTGTATATTGATTTTGTATCCTGAAGCTTTGCTAAAATCGTTTCAATTTGAGAGCCTTTTAGCAGAGTCTAGAATTTTCTAGATATAAAATCTTATTGTCAGCAAAGAGAGGTAGTTTGACTTCTTTTCCTATTTGAATGCTTTTTAATTTATTTCTCTTGCCTGACTGCTCTGGCTAGGACTTCCTAGAAATCTTCATAGGTATAATTTTAATGACAATATCTGAGATTTTTAATTTTTTAATTTTAATTTTTTTTTTGAGACAGAGTTTCACTCTGTCACCCAGGCTGCAGTGCAGTGGCACTATCTCAGCTCACTGCAACCTCTGCCTCCTGGGTTCAAGTGATTTTCTTGCCTTGGCCTCCGGAGTACCTGGGATTACAGGTGTGTGCCATCACACTGGCTCATTTTTGTATTTTTAGTAGAGACAGGGTTTCACCATGTTGGCCAGGCTGGTCTCGAACTCCTGACCTCAAGTGATCCACCTGCCTCTGCCTCCCAAAGTGCTGGGATTCCAGGCGTAAGCCACTGTGCCTGGCTGAATTATTTTTCTTTTCTTTTTTTAGAAACATGGTCTTACTCTGTTACTCAGGCTGAAGTGCATTGGCATGATCGTAGCTTGAATTGTAGCCTTGAATTCCTGGGCTCAAACAATTTCCTACCTCAACCTCCCAATACCTGGGACTACAGGCATGTGCTGCTACACCTGGCTAAATTTTTTATTCTTATTTTTCTGTAGAGATGGAGTCTCACTATGCTACCCAGGCTTGAGTTCTTGGCCTTACGTGATCCTCCTGCCTTGGCCTTCCAAAGTGCTGGGATTACAGATATGAGCTACCATGCCTGGAATATGATATGTTAAATTTAACTCTTTTAATTTATCTTGAAACTATTTTGGTGTTTTGTTTTGAGTTGGAGGTTTAAATGGATCCTTTTCCAAGTAGTTAAATCTATTGTCTCATTGACATTTATTACTTTCCTTCTTCATTGAAGTGCTTTACTTCCCTTATAATTCTGATTATCTGATGTTTTACATTGATTCTTCCATATTATATACCTTCCATGATCATGCCTTGATACTCTCCAAAAGTATCAAAGCCAAAATTAACATTAAATTCTTGCGTTAAACAAAATCACTTTGTTTTAGCCTCTGTGGTAAAATTGGGATCCAATGCTCAAATATCCTCTGGCTCCAAAATTCCCCTGTTATGTTTAGAACCAGATTTTTCATTTGTAAACTGCCAGACCCAGAAGTTGAGAGCGAGACCTGTTTCTTTAGGAGGCAATGCCCTGGGTCCCAGGTTTATATGTGTTTCCTCTTCCTCTTCCTCCTCGTACACTTTTCCCCAACTTTCTCCGAATGGCCAAGGCTGCATAAGTTAGTATAGTGCACCATTTTACACTTTCCCATAAGAGAGAGTAAATTCAGAGTATAGATACTTAAAGCATTACATAGATATTAACTAATCTCCTACCAATTGAAATTGTCACTATCTATATCCTGACACATTTACCACAGGAATCTGTGAGTCTGCATTCAGCTGACTTGTGTGAGCTAAATGACCTGAACTGAGATAGGAGATGAGTAGTAGTTATGATTCAGCAATTCCAGTAAAGAAATGCGTTTTCTATCAGAGTTGTCAGATAGAGGCAGGAGAAGGCTGAGAAACACTGAGGTCCTTGCTGTTATCGTTACTCAAACAGAAATGTCTGTCAGCAGTGGCTGGGAAAGAATTCCTGCTCTGAGGAGTGGGTGGGGGGGGATTAGGGGCTCAGAATAAATTATTTCAGGTTTCTCTGGTTCAACTAATTGTTGCTTTGACTTTTGGATTAGTTATGATTTAATGCAAAATTTCTTTTCTTAACAGGAAATAAAGGAAAAGAAGAAATTCTGCAAAATGTATATAGAAGACCTTGTGAAGGAAGCCACAGAAATCAACATGAAAAATGAGGCTTTGCAGAAGCTTTGGCCACAGATGTTCATTGAGCTTGTTAGGGATGCAGTCATAGAAATTCGCAATAAAAATTCCTATATGAAGCTCTGCCTACAGCAGATAACAGACCAAAAATAAACATGGCCTTTAGTTACAGTTGATTTTGGCAGTTTTATTTTTTGAAGGGTGAAAATATGCAGGCTATACGTGTTAAAACAACAGCAACGCTATCCTATAAACCAGAAGGACTAGCATTAAAGCATTATTGCCCACTGTTCTCATAGCTAAAAGTTAAGAAGGAAAGCAGGAGAAAGGAAGGAATGATTTCCTGTATGTAATGACCAAACAACCTTTGGGAACTAGGCAGTGTTCAGAGACGGCATAGCACTGCATCCTTGGTTCTTGCTTTGATTGGTGCCCTGCTGTAGCCCAAAGCATGTAGCATTTGCTGACGATTCAGCATGAGTTGCATCTACCTACTTTCAGCAGATAATTTTCAGTTATTTTCCTTTTTATTTTACATCATGATTTCAAAGCCAAAAGTATGTTCTTTTTATGAGTGAAGAATAAACTTACTAATAAATTAGTAAAAATAAAGTATGTTTGCCTCATTAATCCAGTCAGAACTGTCATATTTATTGTATGTTCCTCTTTATTTAGGTAGGGTCCCTGCTATTCACCTATATGGAGGATGCCACATTCTTCTAGGGATGCATTCTCAGGGAACGACAGGAGGTCCCAGGAGTCACTATGGGCGGAGCATATGAAAATGAGTCAAAACTGAGATAGGAAGAAAATGTTTTGTCTTAAGAGACCTGGACTGACTATAAAATGCTGTTACAAATCAGTAAGTCTGCATCTCTGAAAGGTGTTTTCTTCCATTGTTGGCGCTCGGGGGCTCCTTTTATAGACATGCATGTGTACCTGTGCCTCAGAAGTATTAGGGTTGCATGGGTGAAAGGTTCTAATTTTTTAAATTTCATTTGAAGATCAAATTCATGCTGATGAGGAGGGTAATGGTTCTGAGAAAGACCCACAGCCTTAAGATCTCTTCATTTCTCTTCTCCCAGAAGGAGCGCTTAACTTTAATAGGTTAGCTTTCTTCTGATCATAGCCTTTTAAGGCACACTGTCCTGGTTTGGCATCTTGGCACTTGGGCCGTCAGGTTCCTAGCATGTAACCTCAGTTTCCTCCTAATAGCACACACTTCATAAGACAGTCATGAGGATCAAATGAAATCATGCATGTGAAGCGTTTCTCCTCATGCCTGGCACACAGCAAACACCCAATGTATTGAGCTTTAATTCATACTCTTCTGGATGTAGGTTGAATGATAGCGTTGGTGCCCTAGGACAGAGGAGCTGTTAGCATTGCTTTCTGATCCTTCAGACGCTCCAACTGAAACATGGATCGTTTCTCATCTGGCTAGTAAACAGTGATCTCTCCTGGGGCTTATATATTGTTTCGTGTAGAGATGAGATCCCAGCTTGAAGGTAATGTTAAGAGGAGAACCAAGAGTATATTTTGCGTGGATTTCTAGCAGATTGGGAAGAGTAGAACTTGTAACTCCTCGGGAGTCTGGGTAACTGTTCCTACTCTAGGCTTTGAGGATGAATGGCCTGGCTGTTTAATAATCTGTCTAGCTTCCTGCATGTCTCTCCTTCCCTAACCCTCCCAATCCCTACTGCTAAAGAGACTTGACACTCACATGCTTTCTCAGCCCAGTCATTCTGGGAATTTTAGGAACACTAAGCACTCAATGAAAAGGCAGCAAGTCATTCTGGCCACTGCTGGCTCTACCCAGACCTTCTGCTTCAGGCCTGGAAATAAGGTCTCTCTCTTGTTCCTGAAACCAAGCCTCTTTATTCCTCAGCTTTGGTCTCTCCTTCCTTCCTACCAGAGTTCCCTTTTGTCTGCTCCCACTATCCCATGCCGATTTCTACTCCTTGAATCCTTATTTTGTCTGGTCTCAAACTTCCAATGGCTGTGTCCTCCCATCTAGCTGTACCCTCCAAACTCATTTTGCTTTCTGAAGTTCCTCGGTGAAGATAATCCCCAGATAAAACGACAAAGAGACCTGGGTCTGGGATCAGTGAGGGTCCTATGTTGTGAGTGAGTGGTAATCTAGGGAATAAATTGCCCTTTCTACTTGGAATTTTCCAGAGTTTTCAGGGAAGGGGAAAAGCTGCAAATTCCACAGTCTGAGACTCTCTGGGCTAGTGTGTGCTGAAGAATTGCTTTTTTTCCAAAAGGGATCTCACATAGAAACAATATTTTGCATTTGCCTCAAAAGTAGAAAGATTCAATACCTCGATTTAGGGAGATATTATACCCCGTGTTCTGGTACAGCAGCTGAATGGTGAAGTGTGCTGGTAGACCTGGGGATGGTTACCAAGTGTGCAGGGTGACCTGAGGCTGCTTAACTATGCTGCTGAGTCGGAGGATGGTTCTGGTATCAGCTCCTCACTTCCTGAACTTCATTCCACTGAAGACCTGGCACTTAAGATAGTAAGTACAGCCCTACCATGCTCCTGATCTCTTCCTTATCAGGCAGGGAATGCACTGGGATTCATATTCTCTTCAATGAGTAATCATCATAACAACAAAGATTCATTGAGCAATGTCTTGCACTATTATAAACTCTTCATATGCATTCTCATTTAATCTCCTAACACTGCAATATAGATATATATATGTATAGATATATATATTAACAATCCCATTTGAACACTAGAAAACTGAGGCATAGAAAGGATTTAAAAAACTCATCTAAGGGTATTTCAGCCAATAAATAGTAGACTGGACCCACATTCACTGTTAGTCTTAAGGGTCTAGCACCTGGGAAGAATTTTGATGCCCATGGTGGTTCCTGATCCACTTTCATGTTTCGTCATTATACTGAGGACTAGCAAATAAAAGATGAGAATTACTCAACTTTATCTACATGTAAAGCATATTGCAGACCATTATGTGCAGTATAAATACTAACATAAAATGTTACACATTTTAGGTGTAATATATAAGTACACATGTACAATGTTAGTTATTATTTAAGGATATACATATTAAAATATAAAATATTGGTGGCTAGATTCATTCCAATAATGTGTAGAGAATCAACTTCAGGAGGTACAATAAATTAGGGGGACCAGTTGGGAAGGTGCTGCACTATTCTAGGCAAGAGATAATTGTGACTTGGATCAAGGTGATTAGCGACAGAGGTGTCAGAAAGTGGTTGGATCTTGGGTATATTTTAAAGATAAAGCCAACAAGATTTACTGACAATTGGATATGGACTATAGAAACAGTAGTCAATGACGACCCCAAGGTTTTTGGCTTGGACAACCAAAAAGATGGAGTTCTCATCAACTGAGATGAGAGCAGTCTGTGAATGCAGCATCTGTTGGGAGGAAGGATCGGGGATTCCATCTTACGGAATACGCAGTGTATCTCAACATAGGCAATATATGCAGGCTATACCACACATCTCAACATATGTTGAGATGGTTGTGAAATATCCAAGTGCAGGTGTTAAGTAGGTATGAATATAAGAGTTGGGAGTTAAGAAGTGTAGATTGAACTAGAATTACAGAATTTGGAGCCACTGGCATATAGCAGTACTTGTTTATGCTATCTTTTATATTTAAGAGAATAAACCTATCACTTGTTAAATAAGATTATCATAGTGTACTTGCCTTTTTATTTTGAATTTTATCTAAGCTTTTCCTTCTGTGTGGTCATATCTCCTATTGTTTTTCTTTGTGATTTCATTCATTGTAATTATGCTTATTCAGAAAGCAGTTAATGATTCACCTATATTTTCTCTTGTTTTGATTTCATGATTTTCTATCATTAACAGTTTGTTGACAGACCAAAACAAATCCTGTTCATCTCTTTGGGCAAACCTGGGCTTTATCCTCCTGTCTCACAGTTTGTTTTATAAATTTTAAAAGGAAAGGAAAGAGAAAGAGGGAGGACAGAGAATCTGGTTAGTTAGCAGCAAGACAAAATGCAAAATCGAATACAGAGAGACTACTCAGGAAAATATTTTATTTAAATCTTGAAGAACAAAGGTTAGTTTTTGTAACCTGCGTTTTTGGGTCAGTTGGAGATGGAGTGGTTACTGTTGCCAAGAACTTCACAGCCAAGCTTGAAATTTAATCACAGCAACAGTGTCAACCAGTATTGATGGAATATTTATTATATTTGATCCTGATTTTCTACTTATGTTTATGTTTTCACGGTTCATTATATATGTCTTGTTGCATAATACCTCAAATCCTTTATGGAAATAGTTAAAGTATACGCAAAGCTCCAAAGAATAAATTACTCCTAAAGAATAAATATACTCTTTGGGGAGTGGAATAGTTTGCAGTTTCTCTTCAGGAGACAATGAAACTATTTATTAATCCCTTATACAAGTCCCTCTAAGCCTGAGCCCTCAGAGAGTCAACTTCTTCTCTTTGTTTATCTTGAAATATTTCAACGTGCAGAAATGCCTGTAGAATCATATCTCAAATAAATGCCCTGTGTCCACCACCAAGCATAACAGATCTTAATATTTTTCCACATTTGCTTCAGATTTTAAAAATCAAACATTACAAGTAGACATGGAACCCCTATGTACCTTCTTTCCCTCCCTCCAGGTAAGCACTATTCTGAATTTTATGCTTATTTATTTTTGTTTTGTTTTGTTTGAGATGGAGTCTTGCTCTGTCACCTGGCTGGAGTGCAGTGGCACCATCTTGGTTCACTGAAACCTCTGCCACCCAGATTCAAGCGATTCTTCTGCCTCAGCCTCCCGAGTAGCTGGTATTATAGGCACCTGCCACAATGCCTGGCTACCTTTTGTATTTTTAGTAGAGACGGGGTTTCACCGTGTTGGCTAGAATGATCTCAATCTCC